TGTGGATAGAGAAGATCAAATTGTTAATGAAACTTTTTACTTGAATCGAATCTTTACTTGGATGGGGGAGTCATGAGGCTGGGGATTGACGGTTTAGATTTGATACCTGTTGATGATTCCAAAGCAAGATGGTTGGAGAGACCCTTCGATGAGATGGAGATTAGAGAGGCGGTCTTTGAGAATAAAGCACTTAGATTGGACAGGTTCTGTATGGCAGGCTTTCAAGATTGTTGATATGTAACCTTGTATGAATTGATTAAGTTCCCCATTGGGAAAGCTATAGAGGGTAATAGGGGTGGACAGTGGAAAGGGATTTGGTGATTGTCTTTGCCGAATTTTATGAGACAAAAGAGTGATTAATTTATGTACAAATGTGTCTTCATTTGTTTGATACCTAAAAAAGAAAATTCATTGAAGATTGGCGACTTCAGACCTGTTAGTTTGGTCACATTCTAATACAAGATTTTGGGAAAAGTGCTATTAAAAAGACTAAGGGCTATTGGGGGGGGGGGGGGGGATGGGGGGGGTAAAAGGGTTAACTTTTGTGAAGGGCCTGCAAATTTTAGATGTTGTCTTGGTGGTGAATGAAGTAGTGGAAGAATATATTGTGTTGACGAAGGAGGGCCTTATTTTCAAATTAGATTTTGAAAAAGCATATGATTATGTTGATTGGCAGTTTTTGGACTTTGTGATGCAAAGAAAAGGATTTGGGAAAAGATGGAGAAAGTGGATTTAGGGTGCTTGTCTACTTGAAATATGTCAGTTGTTGTAGTTAATGAAAACATAGGGAACACTTTTACGGCTTTTAGAGGGATGATGGGATAATCCTTGAGCAAAGTCTTTTTGGGTTCCAATGTTAGAAAAGAGTGGTAAAAGATTGGAGAAGAGAGCTTTGTTATCTAGAAGGGGGAGGTATACTTTGGTGTAGTCTATGATGAGTAGTATCCGATCTACTATTTGTCTTTGTACAATATTTTGGTTGGGGTTCCAAATGAAATTGAAAAAATGATGAGGGATTTTCTTTGGGAAGGTTGGGACGAGGGGAAGGACCACTTAGTGAATTGGGAGGTAGTTTTTCTCCCCAAGGCAAAAAGGGGACTAGCCATTGACAGCATTGTGGCTAGGAACATTGCTCTTCTTAGAAAGTGGCTGTGGAGATTTTCCATTGAGTGTGATTCATTATGGCATTTTATTATAAAAAGCAAGTATAATTGTTGATCTCCATGGCAATGTTTCATATTTTTTCACTTTTGTATAGATTTCTTTCTTTGAAAGTGGAAAATTGTAAAAATGTCCCTTTTTGGGAGGATGTTTGGTTGGGTGATTCTTTTTTTGATGCAGTGTTCCAACATTTGTATTGAGTGCCTCGTTCTCATAATGCTTCCATTCCTACCTTGGCTTTGTTTTAATATGGCACCAATTTAATGAAATTTCAATTTCATTAGAAATTTTAATGATTGTCAAACTCTTGAGTTGGCATCTTTGTTGGCTTTTCATTGTCTCCAAATGTTGTGATAAGTCGGTTTGGCTAAGTCACTTTTCCATTTTATTTTCATGCAAGTCTTTCTTTGACAAAATCATTGATAAACCCAATGTCCGTTCTTTACCTCTTTGCAAAAGAAATTGGAAAGCGGTTGTGCCTCTTAAAGTAAAGATATTTATGTGGTCGTTGGCTCATGGAAGTGTTATGACTGATGATACCTTAAAAAAAAGGGAGCTAATCGCTATCTTTGTCTTGAATGGTGCATCATGTGTGGAAGGAATGAAGAATCTTTGGATCACTTATTCTTGTATTGGCCCTTGGCATTGGACCTATGGCATGGACTCTTTCATTTGGTAGATATCCATTGGCATTGGGTGTTGGAGACAAAATTATATTGTCAAAGATATTAGAAGATATGGAAGATATCAGAATATATGGAGATTCCATATTTGTGCTTATTATGATTGTTTGTATCTTTGAATTATTTCAATTCCTTAATTGAAGGGATTCGATTGCATCTCTCACTCTATATATATGGTGTATCATGCAAACAAGATATTAAGTTGAGCGAGTGAAAGATGTAGCCCATAGGGCTTTGTGCGTGTGGATTTAGGCTAATATTGGCTGAACCACATTAAACCTTTGTTCTTTCTTTTCTCTTTTCTGTCTATTATTTCTCCATATTCAACTTTATTGCCTTATTACAAAATTCAACTTTGGGTACCCAGCAATATCCAAGAGCAAAGTTTTATCTTTTGGTAGACACTCACTCACTCACTCACTCTCTGTGTGGGGCAGGGGGAGGGGGGGTGCCCTGGGAGAAGAAAAAATAATCAAATTTTAATCTTCAACAAGGCTAGTAGGAAAATTCATATAAATAAATGCCGAATCAGCCTTTTCATTGCAATAAAGGCAATAACAATAAACATGCATCAATACCATAAAAAACATAGGCTTGGATATGTCTCTTCATGTTGGAAAGCTTATAGAAAGCATCAGATGCTTTTTCTGCCAAGGCACGGTACTGAATAGATGCAACCACATTGACAAAGACATTATCCTGAAAAGGAAACAATAATCACAATTTATAACTTGATCAAGTGTAATCAATTAAATTATATGCAAAATAACGAGAATCCACATCAGTCTTTGATTTGATGTTGAAAACAAAAATGAATTCCATGAAAAGGGAGAAGCACCAAACTGAGGGAGAGGTAAAATAAGGGATGTATGTATGCTGTTAATTGTTTTGTAGGGCTTTGGAGGTAAGAAAGCAGAAGTGTTGTGGTATTACATTGTATTCTCACTCTTTTGGGTTATTTGGTTGGAAAGGAATGCAAGGATATTTGAGGACAAGTTTGATGACATGGAGTCAGTGTGAGATGCGTCACTTGGCATAGTTTTGGGCTTCCATTTCTCCTCTGTTTAAAGGGACTCCGTTCTTTTTGATATGTAGAGATTGAAGAGCTGTTTGTAATGCATAAGTTGTTTCTCTGATATGTTTGGTGCTATATTTTCTTTCACTTGTAGAGGACTCCTTGTCCTCCCTTTGTACCTCTTTTTATTTTTTTGTAATAAATATATATGTTTTTTTGTTGGTGATCATAAAAAGAAGAAATAAGTATTCTTTAGACTTTGAATGCATTGGAAATAGGTAGTATTCATATTTGTTTAATATTTGTTGTCTTGAAAATCTAAGAGCTATGAATGAAAGCCATAATTATTTAGAAGGCTCATCGTTCCCTGTTTCTAGTGTGCGCTTTAGTTTTCGAATTTGTCATTTAGCTTCACATGTCTACGAGCTTTTTGGACCTTTCACAGGGACCAACAACAAGGACCGAGATGAATAGGGAACGGGAACTACTGTTTTCGTTTCGGGATTTGAATAGGTTGATTTCTTTGGATTGAGAATTTTTTTTAGTTATTGGGACTTTTTTTCTTTTACGACCTACTTTGGCTTTCTACTTTCTGCAGGACTAGAAAAGTTCTACATCATAATGTTTCTTAACAATATGCAAACAATATAAACAATTAATTGCTATATTTCAACGATAGGAATCAAAGAAAAGGAATAAAAATCCCATTACCAGGAATCTCATTTCTAGTAGCCAGATTCCTGTGTAAATGCAATTCAGGTGTTTGGATTAGTCAAGAATTCTCTATGGAAAATGGTAAAAGTCACATAATATATTTTGTTTTGTTTTGTTTATATCTTCAAAGCTTTAGGAATGTGATATGCCATGGAGAGGCATGGTAATGAGATTCTCGCTTAGTGTGCGGTTATCTCATTTGTCCTTCGGAATGTAACTGGTTAGATTACATATCTTGGATGCACCCAAACAGCATAATGGAGGGTTGGTATGAGATTCACATTCCACCTTTTTATTCTTGCCATCCAAATATAGCTAAGCATTGCTACATGTTGAGTTTTAGTTTGAAGTGGTGTATGCTGATCACACATCATAATCCTTGATGTTGATGGCTTTCATGGGCCAAAATGTTAATGGTAAACTTACGTAAAAAATTGTTGACGTTGCATGCCTCTTTCCCCCTCTTTCCTGCTTTCAATCTGTATTGGGTTTGTGTTCATTTTGCAATATGGCCAATATTTGATATGTAATGTTACTATACTCCAGCATATATTTGTTCTGGGGTTGCTGATCTCTAGCAGATACCAACATTTAAAAGGGCAAATTACAAATACACCCCTTGAGGTTTGCTTAAAATACGGATTACTCTCTGTGGTTTGGAACATTACAAATACATCATTTTCAGAATTTTTTATTTAACATAATTAACTGAAAAAATAAAATTTCTACTTGCTCTCCTGTACAAGATAAAATTACCTAAATTATTAATTGAAATAAAATTCTGACGTCATTAAAAACTGTTAATTGGCTTGATTAGTTATTAATAAAAGGGGCTATTTGTTATGAAATTATAAACATCAAGAGGCGGGATGTAATTTTCAGAACCACAGGGGGCAAATCGTAATTTAAGCAAATCTCAGAGGGTGTATTTATAATTTACCCTATTTAAAATTATGAACTTTATTATATATCTGTGTGTCTTAAATGCTTGTAGGTAACATGGAGAGATGTTTGCTATTAATTGTAGTTTTATGAAAGAACCCTGAAGTGAGTTGCAACAGGCTGTTTTGGGAATAATAATTTACTGGAACAAGAATTGCCCCACAGTTGGAAGGTTTCTCCACTTTTATTTTTGGGGTGTTATTGATTGAGCATGAGCCAAGCATCTTATTATAACCATGTCTAGAAGCGCATACACTAAAAGGTGTGGGCCATTATTTTTCTTTGGATTTGTTGACACTATGAAGCGTCGGCCATAATTTTTTTTTTCATTATATATATATACTAGGCTTTCTAAGTGTTAAGAATATGTTCCTCTGAACCCATGATAAAGGATGTCCCTGAAGAAATCCATATAATTTAATTATTTTGCAAATTTTATCAGTTTAACACGTTCACATTACATGCGATTGTACTTCCTATGGCAGGTTCTGTCTACAATGTGTGAGGAGCTTCCTTCTGATGGAGTTCTCTTAATATATTTATCAGCTTCAGGTAACACGAATTTTTAGCTCTGCTTAATGCCTTTTTTATTTTTCATTGAATCTGAGATCATTCAAATTGCTTTTGATAGCTTATGTTTACATCATTTAAATTGCTTCAGGAAGCGATACATCTGGTAGCCTAAACCATTCTTCTAGGCAAGGTGAAGGGGATAGCTTAAGTGACCTTACTTGTGGCTTACATATTGGTGCTCGTGGAAATGGAGGTATTCTACAAACTCATGAATACATTTAGTATAGATAAATCCTGGGAGGAACTCATTATGTGAACTTCTAGTAGTTGTCATGTCATCATTACATGTATGTCCCAGTATGATTCCTATTGTTATTTATGCCTGTTCCTAGGCAGGACATTAATGCATCATCTTTATTAAATTCAGAGCAAATGGAACCTTTCTGGCCACTGTTGTATTCTGCAAGGTATGAAGCATGGGTACTCCAAAAATGGTACCGTACGAGTACCGGATACACCGAATACATGCCGGGTACGACAAATACGTTTGGGTACGTTGTGGGTATGGCAAGAGTACGATGAGGGGATTTTTTTTTTTTCCGCAGCTGCTAGAATTTGTTGCAGCTTTTATTATTCTTCTTTCAACTTCGAAAATCATTCCAATACCCTTTACCCATGAGTCATGGTTTTGCTCTTTTTTGCATCCTGTTTTAGACAATCAAAAAAGAAAAAGAAAGAATTATACAACTTTTTAGACAAGCTGTTCTCTTTTTCGTTTTGATATTGAAATTTTGATTTGTATGTTGGATGTTTAGCTATAAATTTAAAAAAAATAAAATAAAATAAATATTGACGTACCCTAGCTGTACCAGTACCCATACCCATACCCAACTTTTTAAAGAATTTGTTGTATTGGCGTACCCGTATTGTACCCGCCCCCGCACCTGCACTCGTATCCACACCCACACCCACACCCACACCCGTGCTTCATAGTCTGCAAGTCCTCACCCATTTTCCCATGGATGGCCTTCTTAATTAAGTCATCCAGTAACAGCTTCCTTGACAGTGCTTTGAATTATTGTATTTTCAGAACATTAACTTTTTCAGATATTGGAGTTGGTTGGATAGGTAAGTAGTCAACAGCTAAAAGCAAATACTTATTAAAATGCAATGACTAAAGGTGCTTTAAAAATGCACATGCCACTGGAGCAGCAGAATATTCCGCTTAATTAAAAAAAGAGACCTTTGTCTTTGGAGTTCATTCCCCATCTAGAGTGGAGATTGTCCGAAGGTACGATTCCGATCCTTGATTTGATGAGTTTGATCTTTTCTTTTGAGGGTTGAGGACAAGAGAAGAGTAAGGGCAATCAAAGCCAACGCATCTTAGCGGCATACAGATTCATTTCATGGGTACCCTCATCCACGAATCCATACAGCATATGAAGGGGTGTGGATCCATTTGTGTAAATAAATCCAGAAGTTTCCTCCTATTTTGACACTAGAGACTCATCTTATTCCTTGCTCCCAGCCAATTTATTTGGAAGAGTACATGTTCTCCCTAAAGTTAATGTTTGACATGATTTGGTGCCCCCAAGATGGTCAATACTAACGTTATGCTTCAACTGCAAAGATCATTTAAAGCTTTTTGCCACGTTTGTGCTGATGTATAATTGTGGAACAATAAATTAGTCATTAATACACTGACTTTTCAATCCAATATGGAAAAGTATTTTCTTGGATTAGGTTGGTAGTGCCCTTTTGTGTCTCGTCCAATTTGGTATTGACTGTCATTTTAGTAAGAATAGAGGAAATGCAATGCAAGTTTTCTCTAAGCCTGCTGGAGGAGGCTTTGCCACTATTAGCTCTTGTGGAGGATCCTTGGGAGTTGCTAATTTAACATTATGGTGTGTTGGGAATTTGTACTCCTTGCTCCCTAGTAGTTCCCAAGCTTGGGTTCCTGGAGACAAAGCTGTGTATTAAGAGGGATGTTTGGGATTTGGCTTATAAAAATGTGGATGTGGACCTTTAGTGGATCTTGAATGCATGCCATTATTTTGACGTAAAAGAGGACGTGAAAAAGCCAGAATAAATCCCCTCTTACATTTCTAATTTCTTTGAGAAATTCTATGAGAAATGGAAAAGGAGATAAATGGTTAGTTGTTTTGTTAGCCAACTGTTTCTTTCATTATCTAGTGGACACTTGGAAGTTTTAGATAATTATTCAGATGTATTTTGGCACTGGCAAAAGAATTCATTTATTGCCCTTTTGGCCCCCTTTTTAAGTTCTTTCAACCAATGTTACATGGACTCTTTCATTTCTCTAGTAACCTTGTCCACTGAAAATGCGAAGGTAAGGATGTGGGATATGTGTCTGACATGCGTACCTAATTTAGTCACTTGGATCCTCTAATTTTATATGATGTTTGAAGTAGTTCACACTTTCTAGTAAAGAAATATTTTTGCCTCACGTGGATGCGAAATAGAGATTTCATATTTTTCTTAAGAGGTCATTTGGGAATTGGCTTTTTGTCTTTTTAGCTTTTTTATGAGGTGAAAAATATGTTTAGGAATGACTTTTTTTAGTTGTATAGAAAAATGTGAATGACTACTGTGTATGATTTGACTTTTTAAGTAGTTTTTTTTGACTTTCCCCCCCCCTCCAATTTAAACCATTGTGAATAGTGTGCTGTTAACTGATAGAGTGTAGTTTTGTTAGATGGATGACCTAGAAAGGAAAAATGGGATCCAAGTAGTTTCACCTTTGTTGGTTTCTTAAATTTTGTTTCTTTTCACATTGTATGCTGCACATTTGTTAATTGTTCTTAGTCTTGCAAATTCATTAGTTTTAGACTTCACTAAAGATTGAGATTTTCTGTAAACCCATTATAATACCAAATTTTTTTCCCCTCAGGTTTAGATTGCATTTATCCTTGCGACTTCATTCCATTCACAAGAAGGCCACTGCTTTTAGTTGTTGAAAGTGACAACAGTACAGCATTCAAGGCAAGTATCCTATTGTTACTTTGTGTTTATCCTCCTCTGCCAAGTAATGCACTAACACTTTGTTAAAAAAATTATATGTTTCACAAATAGCGATATCAAACATTACTGATAATCTCATTGGTGAGTTCGTAATTAATTAGAAGAGAAAAGGAGGGGACTTCATGCCCTGGTTTATATTTCAATAGAAATTGATATGCACAAACTGTTACATGGTCTTGAGTAGAACTCACCCCAAAAGCTAGCTTTATGGGGTGAGGGTACCCTCACGGCTTATATGTTTAATATTATTTTTAGTATTTAGGCGATGTGGGACTTTGCTTCATACCATCCCTCACGCCCAGCGTGCTCACTTGATAGTACTTGCGGCGTGTAGGCTAGGAACACGCCTCCTACCCATACGTTTCGGCTCAGATACCATGTTACACGGTCTTGGGTAGAACTCACCCCAAAACCTAGCTAGTAAGGTGAGGTTGCCCTCATGGTTATATGCTTAATATTACTTTAGTACTCACGCGATCACATCCTCCCTTACGCCCAATGTGCTTACTCGGCAGCACCTGCGACGTGCTAGCGATGGACACGCGCCCTACCTATATTATTGATAACTGAATTAATTATTACAATACTAAGCCAATATTAGATAGGTAAAACATAAGAAACCCTAAAATGCTAAATACATAGCTTATGACTAAACTACCCTCAAATACTTATAACATAACATAACATCTCACCCCTTCCCTCCCCTCTCCTCCCCAAACTTATAATGTGAGCGCAGAGAATATAGAGTTTGCCAAATAAAAAGCGAAAACAAGCAGTCGTGTGAGTCTTGGTGAAAAAATCAGTCAACTGAAGAGACAAAGGCACAAATGGAAGAGTAATAGTGCTGGCTTGAAAGTGATATCGAATGAAGTGGAAGTCTATTTCATTGTGTTTGGTGCGTTCATGAAAGACAGAATTATGCGCAATCTGAACAACACTCTGATTGTCACAATATAACGAGACTTAGAAAATATGAGGAAGAAGAACTCCGAAAAATATGAGGAAGAAGGAATATATTTATGTTATATTCAAAACTTCTTATCTTACAAGACCAAATGACACTCCTTATATAGGAGATATTACAAACATCATTATAACCCATTATATGCCACTTACATATTATATATTACTATCTTATTATTAACACAAATTTCCAGCAACGAGGTAGGAGAAGGAAGTAACACACCCATATTAGAAAGAAGCTAGCAAAGCCACACAATTTCAAAAGTAGCATGAGCCGTAGCATGATATTCAGCTTCAACGGTAGAGTGAACAACAACTGATTGTTTCTTACTTTTCCAAGAGATGAGAGAATCACCAAGGAAAACACTAAAGCTGGAAGTAGACTTGCGATCATAAATATCTCCAATCCAATCTGCATTAGCATAAGGATGAAGTGTGAAATCAGAGGAAGAGGAGAGAAATAAATATTGGAGCAAAGTACCATGAATGTATCGAAGAGTGCGTAAGAGACCAGCCTAATGAGTGGAGTGAGGAGCATAAACAAACTGGCTGAGAATGTGAACAACATAGGAAATGTCCGGATGAGTCACCGTGAGATAAACCAAACAACCAACAAGCTCATGATAGGTAGTGGGATCATCAAGCGGCACACCTTCACAACCAGGGAACTTAGCATGCAATTCAATCAAGTGTCAACAGCCTTACCATCTGTGAGATGAACATACCCCGTAGGAGAGGAAGCCACTTCAATACCAAGGAAATATTGAAGAGGACCCAAATCTTTAATCTCAAATTCACAGAAGAGCTAACGCTTAAAATCCTAAATAACAAGGAGGTCGGAGCCAATAATAATCATATCATCCACATGTAATAGAAGAAGAACAATATAGTAGAAGTCCGACGAATAAAGAGAGTAGAATGATGTGTGTGGGCCAGAAACCAAGGCGGAGAGCGACCGAGTGAAAGCGATCATACCAAGCCTAAGGAGACTGCTTAAGAACATACAAAGCTCAACGAAGACGACAAATAAGACCAGTGGAATGAGAAGGCCAGGAGGAGGCCGCATATAAACTTTTTTAGCAAGATAGCCATTGAGGAAGACATTCTTGATATCAAGCTGAAAAAATGAAGCCTTTTCAACCAGATAGTCATTGAGGAAGGCATTCTTGACATCAAGCTGAAAAAGTGGCCAATGAGACATAGCAGCCATAAAGATGAGAGTGCGAATAATGGTCATCCTAGCAACTGGAGCAAAAGTTTCTTTATAGTCAATCTATGCTCTTTAGAGAAACTCTTAGCAACCAAGCGAGTTTTGTATCTTTCCAAAGAACCGTCAAAATTTGTCTTAACCTTGTATGCCCATTTACACCCAACAAGATTCTTACCAGCAAATAAAAGAACCAACTCCCAAGTTTGAGTCTTAGCAAGAGCAGTCAACTCATCATTCATGGCAGCCACCCAATTAGGATCATGACATGCTTCTTTGTAAAACCTGGGCTTAAAGTAAGTATGGAGACAAGAAAGAAAAGAGCGATAGGAGGAAGAGAAACATGTAGTAGAAAAACCTAATCTTACCGAGGGATGACGATCATGAGCAGGATTATGACGGACAACTTGATTAGGATCCAAGGAGGCAGTGGGAAGAGCAACAGAAGTAGGAGGTGCCTTGCAATGAATGTAAACTAGGAGAGGAGCTGGTGTACTAAAGTAATATTAGGCATACAAGTGTGAGGGTATGCTCACCTTAATAGCTAACTTTTGGGGTGTGTTCTACCCAAGACCGTATAACATGGTATCAGAGCAGGTTCAGCCAAGGATGGGCAGGGTGCGTGTCCTTTGCTTCCGGAGTTTCTTAATATTGTTTAAAGGTCACCACGGACCATCACAGCTCTCTCTCTTGCTTAGCAAGGTCGTTGCACCCTCTATCTCCCTCTGCCTTCGCTAGTCGTAGCCCTTTGTCTTTAGTACTTAGGCAATGTGAGACTTCGCTTCACACCCTCCCTTATGCCCAGTGTGCTTACTTGGCAGCACTTGCGGCATGCGGGCTAGGGACATGCACCCTACCCATCCCTACGTACTTAGGCTCTGATACTATGTTATACGGTCTTGGGTAGAACTTAATCCAAAAGCTAGTTTTTTGAGGTGAGGGTGCCCTCACACTTACATGCTTAATATTACTTTAGTATTCAGGCAATGTGAGACTTCACTTCACACAAACATGTGAATCTCTCTCGATGGTTTCTGGGGCATAGAAATGGGTAAATTACAGCGACCAACATATGGCTCCCCCAACATTTACATTCCTATTTTAAACAATGCTTTCTCTCTTTAGGCCATAAATTTTCTTTTAATTCATTCTAAAACCATGATTACTAATCTAGTTTGAAAGATCATGACGGCACGCGGTTGAAGAGTAAAATGTATTGTGGCTGTCCTAGATTGATGTTGATGTCAAGTAAACAAAGAATGAGATTGTGAGATTCGGGAATTAGCACGTGGCAGGGCTCTTTTTTATTTTATTTTATTTATTTATTATTATGAGAATGCTAGGAATGATCAACTCCATTTGCTTGGAGGAGTGTTATAGGGTGCATGTATCCCTAGTGTCTCCTGTACTTGGGCTGTACTCTTTGATTTGTTTGTTAGTCATGTTCTGTTGAGTTGGTGAGGCTGGGGTACATGTACATAATCACAGCCACCTTCTGTCAATACTGAAGCTAGGATTCATGAAAGGCATCTCCGTGTTCTCCCAATTCTCTATTGGAACAAATAGAATCCTTTGATGAGGTTTATTATAGGGCTTTGCTTCATACAAAATCTCATCGACAATTACTTCGGATAGAAGGTTCTTCAGGAAATCAGAGCCAAGCATGATCATCACAACGAGGTGTAACTAGTGGTTCAAATTCCACTGTACTTCCTCAAACACTCTTGGTATATCTTATGTATAAAGCCACATTTCTAAAGTTGTGATGTGAATTTTCTGCCATGAGTTATGATTGTGCTCTGATATGACATAACTTGGTTTATCTGGAGAAGATAAAATGTTGATATGGAACTGAAGTTAGTTTATTCTATTCAGTTAGCCTCATTTAGTTACATTTGCTCAGAGAAAATGGTTTGCCTCTTCTATACAGAAAATTATCAATCTGACAGGTTGATATTTTATTTTCAAAAGTTTTCTGAGCCAGATTTTCCATAAAACAAATTTAGCACAGCCAATTATTTTTTAAAATCATATTGAAGATAATTAGGGTTTTCATTTGCACAGGCTATAAATGGAGCTGAAAAAGGGGAGCCAGCTGCACTGCTCCTATCTCCAAGCTCTTCTTCTATTATGCCTCACCCAAATGGAAGCCTATTCACCAGCTTTCTCACAGCTCCTTTGCAGGCTTTTTGCCTCTTGCTCGGTATTTCAGGCTCTGATAGTGAAACGGTGAGGGCAATCAACACTGCTATCCATACTTATTCGCTAATTGCTTAATTTGTTGGTAAACTAAAAAAATGCTTCAGGATACATGCAACAAGGCTGAGAACTTACTTTCCTCGTTACTAAATGACTGGGGAATGACGTTAGCAGCTTCAGACACCCTTGACCCTGTTTGGGCTCAAGTTTTAAGCGATCCATTTCTAAGGCGACTTCTATTACGGTATGCCAAGAATTTCTTTTACTTTTTGAGTTGTGAGGATTTATCTTCTGTCTCTGTTTGATTGCATCTTCAAAACCACTGGTACTTACAAATATTGTTGAATTAGTGAATTTTAACATAACATGGGAGTATTTTAGATTGAGATAAAATTTGATTTTCAATTTTATGGCAATGAGAAAATGGAACTTGTGTGTTTTACCAAGATTTCTTGGAAATGAAAAGGAATTGTGGAATCGGAAGTAAGGCTGTGTTTGGTTTGCCTTTGGAATCATGATTCCAAAGGCAAAATTTTAAAAACACTTCAAAATTCATAACCAAACACTTAACTTAAAATTATTCAAAACTTAATTCAAAAATTAATTTCAAAACTTTAACCAAACACACAGCTCAAAACTTAATTCAAAACTCTTTTGACGATATAGTGTTGAAGATGGTTAGTAATAAGATTGTTAAATTATTTTTATAAAAAATCTAAAAAAAATAATTTCTATATTTAAAAAATATCTAAAACAAATATATTATTATTTTTTTCAAATAACAGGTTGCAATTGCCACAAAAAAAATAAAAATAAAAATTGTGCTGTTCTGGTCAATAGGCTGGACGTCCGGGAGGATGTCCGGTGACTGGGTTGACCCAATCCGCTCTTTTTAAAATTTAAAAATTCCTTTCAAAACTCTTTTCAAAACTCATAATTAAACAAATTTTTTCTTTTCAAAACTCAACTCACAATTCCACACTTAAATCACAACTCCAAAAAGAGAATTACAATTCCAAACTAAACCAAACGCAACCTAAGTTTTTTATTTTTATTTTTAAGTTACTGATTTATGATTTTGGAACCTTGCCCCAACCGCTTGACTAATTTGTGCATGACATGTCACGCAGTCAGTGGAGTCTGTCAAAAATCCTTGAAAATAGACTCTATTAGGTTTCTCTTAAAATTATGTGCCTAACGTTTGGATTTTTGATGGCATTGCCGTTCGCTTTTAAAGAAAGACATTGGAGAGTTTCAACCTTCAAGCATTTTGCCTCTAATTTAATCATCTAGGTAAGATGAATTCATGCCAAGTGACCTATATAATTGGATGAACCAGATAAATTTCTTACTAAGAAGCCCAACTTAGATTTTAATGTTCAAATTTTAGATTGATTTGCTTTGTTTCTGAGGGACTTTTGAGATATCCCTTTGGAAGAAAATAGGTGTAAATGAGAGCTAGTGAGAAGGGACCACATTCTTCATCAAGAGGAAGCATTTATATGTAGATTGAATGGATATTTAAATCATGGAGGCAATTTAGTACCCTTTTTTTAATTTTAATTTTAATTTTTTTGGATGTATGGCATTTCTAAGTTAATGTTGTACAAAGTCTAAGTTGGTGTTTGGATTCCTGATTCATCAAGGGAAAAGAAATAGAAAGTAAAATAGATTACTCATACATGCTCATTTTTATGGGTAACTAAACAAAAAACTGAATATTTTGACAAATATATATATATATATATATATTCTTATTTACATAACCCAATCAAAAAAGAGAAAAAACTAGCATCTACTTCATTTTCCTTTCATATCTTTTTCTGTAATTTTTCTTCTCTACAAACTCCTCCACAAATCCAAGATCCAAACATGCTATTTTGGGAAGATGGTTATAAGCAGCTTTTTACCATAATCAGTTTTTTGGTAAAAAGCTGCTTATAAGCAACTTTTTTGTGAGAGAGGAAGTGAGTTATAATATGGGAAGTGGATTATAACCCACTTCCCAAAAAGGGCCACGTTGCAGACTAATCTAGATGCCTTCTAGTAATTTGGTATATTTGTAGTTGTAAAATTTTCATGCTTACCCAAAAAAAAAAAAAAAAAAAAAAAATTTAATTACCAAATTTTTGAGAAAAAAACTGCATGGAGGAGTAGAGCAAATTTGGTGGGTATTCATCTTTCCTTGCATTAATCTATGTAAAATTGTTATATATATATATATATGTATGTTTTCTCGTAATAATGTTGTGGTTAAGCTCCTTTGAATTGAATCTTGCAGATTCATATTTTGTCGGGCAGTACTAACACTGTATGCTCCTACATTCAACAAGAAAGAGTTTCTTCCTGAATGTATACCGTGCCTTCCAGAGGCTGTTCTACCTCTGGCTGCAACATCTCAAACAGCAATTCTGCAGATAGCCAACCTCTTCGGTGCGACCAACAGTTTCATCTTCTCTGAAGGCATCACTCTTCCTGAGAGTAACGACGAATCTATGTCGTCGTCTTCATGAAGCTCGCTTCAATGCCGAAACTGGCTTCAAAATGTAACATTTCGTGAGTAATTAATTTTTTTTTTTGGTATGTATAATTTCATTCTTTTATCCTAAACTTCAATTTTTTTTTGTCGTTGGTTATTATGGTTTCTAGTGTTTTGGATCCTCATGGTTGGAAATATATGTCATTATGGTTTGTGATTCTGTAAATATCATATTTGTGAGCATTACAAGTCATATTTTCATTTTCCAATTATTCTACCAATGTAACAATAAGAATGGAACACACATCTTAAAGATGTCATCAAAATGCTAGAATGCTATCATATCAAACATGGTATATTTTCAAAATGATAATTTAGGGTTTAAGGGTTAGGATTTAGATGATATTTTCAAACATGGTATATTCTCACAAAAATAATAATAATAATAATAATAATGATAATTGAGGACTGTAGGACAACCATTACGTTCTGTTTGGTTTAATAGAATGGTTGAATGGAGTGGTGTGATTATTTCCTCACTTCCTATGGATGACCATTTTCGTACAATGGTGAGTGATAATTTTAATTATAATGTATTTTTTATTATTTTTTTAGTCAATAAACGAATGTAAATGAATATTTTGATAGAATGATTATTTTATTTTATTTCATTTCAGTGAATCAAATATTATCTTAATATTTTGTTAACTAATGCTTCAACTATTAGGCCAATATGCCTATAACCTATGGCCTGCATGACGAAAGGCTATTGGGCTTTTTTGAATCAATTTATAGCTTTTATTTTGAAATTGAAAAATTATTTTGGACTATTTTTTTGTCGTTGGTTATTATGGTTTCTAGTGTTTTGGATCCTCATGGTTGGAAATATATGTCATTATGGTTTGTGATTCTGTAAATATCATATTTGTGAGCATTACAAGTCATATTTTCATTTTCCAATTATTCTACCAATGTAACAATAAGAATGGAACACACATCTTAAAGATGTCATCAAAATGCTAGAATGCTATCATATCAAACATGGTATATTTTCAAAATGATAATTTAGGGTTTAAGGGTTAGGATTTAGATGATATTTTCAAACATGGTATATTCTCACAAAAATAATAATAATAATAATAATAATGATAATTGAGGACTGTAGGACAACCATTATGTTCTGTTTGGTTTAATAGAATGGTCGAATGGAGTGGTGTGATTATTTCCTCACTTCCTATGGATGACCATTTTCGTACAATGGTGAGTGATAATTTTAATTATAATGTATTTTTTATTATTTTTTTAGTCAATAAACGAATGTAAATGAATATTTTGATAGAATGATTATTTTATTTTATTTCATTTCAGTGAATCAAATATTATCTTAATATTTTGTTAACTAATGCTTCAACTATTAGGCCAATATGCCTATAACCTATGGCCTGCATGACGAAAGGCTATTGGGCTTTTTTGAATCAATTTATAGCTTTTATTTTGAAAAATTATTTTAGACTGTTTGGTTAAATTTATTTTAAACAATTTTTGATTTCAACAATTTATTTTAACTCAAAAAGTTAATTTTGAAAAGTTGTTCACCATTTGCTTCTGATTATTAACTTATGTTATGGACATGTTAATTTACAGTTATATTCTTAGATTTTTTTATTTTTTATTTTTTTAAAAATAGAAAAAGACTTAAATAGACTATAGATTATTATTATTATTTTTTTTTATGAAAAATATAGATAAGTAGTGAATAATAAAAAATAAAAATTAATTGAAAAAGTTAGTTCACAGCTTATTTAATAAACACTACTTAGCAACTTAAATCTATAATTTAACAGATATACCAAACAGATTAACATTTTTTGATTAAAGTCATAATTTATAATCTATTAAATTATAATTTATAATCTGTTTTAACAGTTATACCAGACGGAATCATTGATTCAAATATTTAAATTGGCTGGAATTATTGTCAAATTAGTTGATGAAAGATTATTATTATGTTTTTGTTATAAAATTGGGGCAAGGCCCAAAAGAAAAGGATTACATAAAAACTGGGCAATAGGATAAAAGTCCCTGTCGATCTACATCTAGCAGAGGAATGAACGCAGGAGTTCGAAGAACTTGTCGAGTGGCAAGGTATCTAGCTTCCTTGGCCAAACAAGTGACATTGCCAATCCCGCGAGAGATCTCCTGATTTCTTGGCACAGGTTAAAATTAAAGGTCCACTCTGTTCGTTCCATTAACGACTTGAATGACCTCTAAAGAACTTGTTTCAACGACAACAGCCCCGAAGTCTTTCCTCTCAAGATTTGGAGGTCAATCCACAAAGCCCAAAGTTGCCAATGTAATGTTGAAAACCCATAATCCAATCGCCATGATCAATTCCTCTAGCACCAGCAAATCCATCAGTGTTCAACTTGACCCAATTCGAAGGACGACAACCCCATATGACCATCGCAAGTTCATGTCGCCTGGCTTGACTAAGCACTTGAGCTTTAATCACCTCCGCCAGTCTCTGCTTAATGATACCAGTGGGCCGAAAGGGAGATTGAAAGGTAGGATCATGCAATTGTTGACTGTGTCAATACCAAAGAGAAGTTAGCGCACCCATAAAGACCAAAGTCCACTGATTCTCAATGATGCTGGGCCATGGTGGGGATCTCAAGTTATCATCCACCCATTTAACCACAGGCGAGGAGAAGAATAGTAGCCAATGTGAGGGGGTTAGCATAGGTATGGTTCTCAGCGTTTCTGAATTTGAAGAGGAGAAAGAGATGTGGGTCAGCAAGACAAAGTGGAATTGTATGGAAAAATCCAATCTCTAATTCTTCCCTACCAACTGGGAAAGGTGATTAATAATAATGATAATAATAGAACTAAAAAATTAAAAAATTAAAAACTAGCCATATCCATGTATTGGGTACAAAGATCATTATAGAAAAATTAGTTTGACAAATTCCAGAAAAATGATAAACTATGTAATGGGAAGATATTAAGTACAATGAATTTCTACATTGTTGCATTAGAAAAAGCAATTGGTGTTTCACCAAACACTAACGATATAGAATCCGGATCCTCGGCCGCCCTACCCGGCAGCCCCCCAAAACGACGTCGTTTTGGGGGTTTTTTGAATTTTTTTTTTTCTTTTCTTTTCTTTTTCTTCGTTCTGGCTTTCTCTCTTTCTTCTTCCTTCTTTGCAGAACCAGAGCAGAGGGGAGGGGAGGGGAGGGGAAGAAGAGAGAGAGAAAGAAAGAAAAAAAAAAAATCAAAAAAACCCCCAAAACGACGTCGTTTTGGGGGGCTGCTGGGACGGCCGCCGAGAAGGGCAGCCGAGAATCCGGACTCAACGATATATATATATATTTCCAATATTTACAAAATGACAGTAAATCATTCGAATTTATGAGAAATACCAAAAACTATGGTTTTCAGATAGAGTTTGGGAGATAAAATATTTGAAATTTCCCTTTGCATACAGGGAAGTCGTGATAGAGACCAAATGGTTTTAGAATAGATCCCTTTTCTTTTTCTTTTTATTAATATTTTTTGACAATGGAAACAAATAATCTCTGTTTTTTTTATTAAAAAAAAAAAAATTAAAAAAAAAGCTTTTAACCACATTGGATCCTCTCCTTGTAGGGTTCCCATCATGTGTTACAGAGGTAATTAAGTAAACCTAATCATAACTAATTTGATAAGTCTTTAACCATCCAATTGTAGAAGGAAAAACTAAACATTTTTTTAAAACCTATCTTAAACTGTTAGACACAACATTTGATTTAGAATTCGAAAATAGATTCTACATCATATCTCCTTTGTCTCTGTATTTCAAACCAATGATCACTTCTTTACTTGATGAAAGAGAATCATCATGGGTAAAAAAATGTTTGGGATAGGAGACAGTAAGATAGGGTAAGTGTGCCAGATTTGTATGTCTAGGCACTTATTATTTTATAACAGAATATTAACCACTCCACCAATAATCACACATGTGATATTTTCTTTATCACTCACAAAGTCAACCTCTCATGTGGAAGAATATGCTGTAGCAATTACAAGCAGAGGGTAAAACCAGTAGCTTCTGTCATATCCAAATCTTCGTCCTTTGATTGATCGAGCAATGAAACCTCAAACTTGTGTACAACATTTGCTAAAGCAAGCTGCTGGAAATAATTTCGGCAATAATTAATTAAAGCAAATAAAATAAATAAAGGAAACAACAAAATTAAACCTTACAATACTTCTGCGGATGGTTTATGAATAAGTTTGTTATTGAGACCAATGTTTGAACACTGTGTCTTTAAGACAGAATTTCGTCCTCTCCAATGGTGCTTGAGAACAAGACGTCCTGTCTCCAAGATACAACAATCATCACAAAATGAAGGGAGTACACTCTTTGATTGTACATCGAACCAAAATTAAGTTTTGCACTCACAAAATTCAGACTCACATAGATGAAGAATACAAGAAGAATGCTTGAACTTGAGGAATTTGGAATTAAAATATTGGAATGGGGGTTGCCTTTATATAGGCTTGTTGGTACCTGTTTAGTTTGAACAGAAAATGCACGACGGGACATGACCATTTCTTTAAAATAAAGAGACACCATTCAAGGATTGCATCCTTTCATTCAATGGTCGCACTCTTTTATTCAAATAGAGTCTATTTCTATTCACCACTGCCTTTATAAATTTTCCAACAATCCCCCACATGAATGAAATTGACAGAAACGAGAAATGCAACAACATGCAGACTACGTGAGTACAAATCTGGAAATATCCTGCATAGGATAGGTAGCTTTTGGCATTGAAGTTTCCCTTGTAAAAGACTATCGGATTTACTGGCTGATCGGTGAACATGATGTCTTGAATTGTTCTGCCGTTGGTATAAATCGAGACAATAGCCTATCACACAATTTTATTTCCATACACAACTTGATTCTATCAGTTGTGTCCATTTTGGTCCTGGACAATTCCTGGATTCATGCTTACTCTAGAGAATTTAGCCTTTTCAATTCTCATAGACCGGTCCAGTTCACACTCATATAGGTGATTCCTATGAAAAGTATCATGCTATACCCCACTTGAATTTCCAAGCTATGAGTCTCATTAAAAGCAAAGCTTAATCTATTTATTGCTGCAGGTAATCATGATCTCATCAAAGAAATGGGTAAGAGTTTTACTCCTTAGTGATTCTAATGAGTCATTCTTAACTTGGTTGTCCCTTTGAACCTAGATTTT